AGCTTGAGGAAAAGTTCATTTGTATTTGTTCATTTCTGGTTTATTGGATCAGAAAAGTGATTAATTAGTACTGTTAGCAGTGAATATTATTATTTTTATGATTATTATAGTTATATTGTTTTAATTTGTGTTGTTGGTAATAATATTAATGTTGTTGCTGTAGTAGTAGTAGTAGTAGTAATGTAGTAGTAGTAATGTAGTAGTAGTAATGATAGTAGTAGTAATAGTAGTGGTAGTGGTAGTAGCAATATTATTATGGTTATTATTAGTATTTTCATCACTATCATTATCTTAATCATCATCAGTTAATACAATTGTCATCTTGGTTTTGCAGTTGTTGTTATGGCTATACATGTTACTAATTGCTATCATTTTGTTAGTACTGTTTTTTTTGCTTTTGCATGAAATACATCATAACCCTAGTCAATTTTGAGAAATAAGAATTATGTTGTAGGCCACATATACATATTGTGAGTGATGCAGTGATGTAAAATTTTGATATGTGAAGGATTTGTAGATTGGATTATATCACTTTATTATTTCAGAAATGTTTAGCATTATTAGGCCATATATCTTATCCTGAGTGTTCTGGATTAGTCTGTTGAGCTATCTTTTCATTTTTACATTTACTTTACTTTTATTCTGTTGTAATCATCTCACTCTTCCCTATTAGATATACTCCATAGGGCTACACATCAGATAGCATTCTCTAAGTGTCACTTCTACTTTTCCTAATTGGGAATCCTTGTGTAAGAATTATTTTAATTACATCTGGATTATTCCTGTGTTTTTGCTGACCATGACACCTTGTAGTAATTTGTTGGTTGAAGCAGAGTTTTCTAGAACGCTGATGCCCATTTGCAGATTGCCTTTCCACTGCTCGGCATCATGCAGTATACATCTTTATACATAAGTTTCGTGATATCTCCCTGAATCACACCATCCCTCTCCTTTTGTTTTCCTTTATTTGCCTTTTGTGAGATAGAATTCCAATTACCATCATAAATATTTATAAAGTTGCCCTGTGTTTTTGAGGCAAATAAGGTACTCAGTTGTGTAAATGCATTTCCTAGCTGGCTCCTCTTTTCAACCACTTGAGTCTTGGAAACATGTTATTAGTACACACCATATTCTATGTTCAAGATAATATTTCAGTACTTCCAGTGTATAAACTTATTTGTTAGTAGTTTTCAAATCTTAAGGTAGCAGTTCTATCCATGGTGAAGAAAATAGCTTAAGTTAAGGAAAATTAAGACAACACTTTCCTGTGTGCTTCATGGCCCAGTGGGCTAAGGTGCCTGGGCTGATCTGTATTTAGTAGTTTAACCTAGTCGACATGGATGGCAAGAGTACAATGCCATGCCCACTGTAATAAAAGTTCATCTATTGTCTTTATACATAGATGGCTCTACGAGTGCTTAGTCACTAGGGAGTTTACCTATTTCCTTGATTTTTTAAAATATTCATTTGTATGATTTTATTGTTAATATTTTGATAACAAATTAGTAATCATAATAGCAATAAGAATAATTACAATATCACTATTGATAATATTAGAAAGCAAAACACATTTTCCCATAAACTCAAGGAATGGGGATATCAGGGGTAGTCATTAGGGCCTACAGATAGACTCTTTGGTGGCTGAGCACATGTGGAGACATCTGTAACAAAATTCACAAAAAACTTTAGGGGACAGTACGTTAACCAGTAGTCATTGGGTTAAGGCTCTCTGGTGCCTCAGATATTTAGTACCCCATCCGTTTCTAGCACACAGAGGGAGGTTATGACCTATTGAATCTGTATTGACTACAGATTCAGTAGGTCATAACCTCCCTAGGATTCAATAGGTCATAACATCCTTCTATCTGGGCCCACTTTACTTATACTTCTCTTAATACATTAACCCCTAAAGTCCAATTTGCACACTATAATGTTTTGTATTACAGTCATTCATAAGGAAAAGCATATATTAACTTTTTACTTTTTATAATTCTAAATATATGTAAATACATCTTAACCCAGTGCTACCAGAGATGTCATTTTATTTTATTAATTGTCATTACATATGGACTACTCCATAAGTGCTTAGTCACCAAAAATTCAATCACTAATCCATTTTGTCTCACTTGTTTTCTTTGATTTTTGGAGATGATCTTTATTTTATATACATGTGTGTGTGTGTGTGTGTGTGTGTGTGTGTGTGTGTGTGTGTGTGTGTGTGTGTGTGTGTCCATGTGTATGTGTATGTTTATATGTACATGTACATGTACATGTGTATATGTGTGTGTGTGTGTATGTGTGTGTGTGTGTGTGTGTGTGCGTATGCATGTGCATGTGCATGTGTATGTGTATGTGTATGTGTATGTGTATGTTTATATGTACATGTATATGTACATGTATATGTATATGTATATATGTGTGTGTGTGTGTGTGTGTTTGTATATATATGTATATATATATATATATATATATATATATATATATATGTATATATAATATA